AAAACTACTAAATTCTGATTAGCATATTATGAGATACAGACTTACTTACAATGTGAACAACTGTGCTAAAGAATTTTTTTTCCATCACAGAACCAATGATTTGAAACTTCCTGCTTTGAAAATTTTAGAGCATAAAAGTGCAGCTCAAGTTTTCTAAATATTAAAGTTCTTTCTGGAAACCCTCAATGAATTATCTTGTATAAAATGTAAATGTTTCTTAGAAGACAATAACCATGGGCATAATCTCTGAAACACATAAATATTCTATCTAGATAAACCTATCCTAGTATATTAAGAATGAGGGGTCCAGTCTCCTCAATGAACTTACCAAGCAAGACATCCGAGGTTAAACACTCAGAGATTTTTAAACCACGACATATTTAGCTGCATTACCTTTCAATATAAAGCATACTAAGAAAACAAACTAATTTTCACATTGATTGGGTCTAGAGGTCTTCTGGACACTGATCTCAACATGCAATAGGAAGATCTCCATAAAAGAAGGATCGATAACAGAATATGAAAAGATACCAGTAAAAGTTAGCCAGTTAAAGATAACACCAGTAAATTGATCGACATTATTTCAGTCTGAAGTTCGGACACAGATTGCATATAGATCACAATTTGTACTTCTGCAGCATTTTATTAAATCAAAGCTCTAGACAACAACATGCAACCTTGCCACTCTTTTTTTACTACATTAAATTTCGATCACTAAGTCATCATCAGCTTAAAGCACAATTAAATGTGAACAAGATATGATTCAGTTGCTAATTCAAGGACGTTCAGATGGAATTATAACAATGTCATTCATAAATAGAAATAAGAAATGTAAAAATAGGAAGCGAACGGGAATGCGAAATGAGTGAGTGGGGTCATTCGCCTAGAAGTCATCGATAAGATCATAGGCAATAACTGTTCTATATGCATACGAGATCACTTCCCAACAATTTTGTCATAGTTACCCAATTATCCAACTCTCAAGCATTGAGTACACCGTCTTGTTCATAAAGAGATGATTTTCTTGATATAATTATTATCTCAACTTATGCATCCATCTCCACTTTTCATGCTTTTGTTATTATAGACTGATGATATCCACAAAGCACATTAAAATAGTTCTCATTAACCTTCTCCCCCATAATCCATTCAAAATAGAAACAGCAATCAGAAAACAGAAGCACTGAAAAGAAATAGGAGGAAAATTCCAAAGGTAGAACCTCTAATTGGACACGTCTATCAACTGAAGCACACAATTCAAGAAACACAGAAATGCATATCATTTCATTTCTCAATAAAAACAGCTCAACACACTTCGAGTGAGAATCCATGTGCATTTTTCACATAAGAAAAAAAGAAAAAAGAGAAATCGCATCATCACACATCGAAAAGGAGGCACAATCACGAGACCCAACACAACTGAAAGAACCCTAACACGCATTCATCGAAAAAACGCACCAAACCCGCACAAAAATTCACCGTAAAATCCTCAATTGCGAGACGAGAAAAACAAAAATCCGAATTCAAGCGAGCAACAACTTCCCAAATTAAAAGCGAGAACAAAACATACCTGAGCACAAAAAAAAATATCCGATCAAAATCACACAATTTCAGCTCCACTTTTAGGAAAATCCTTCAGATGCAACAAACCCAAGATGGAATGGTGATGAAAAGGTTCAGTTCCGCGTCTGAGCTCCTCCGTCCCCACAGTTTCCTGGTCACAAGAGGAAATGGAGTGTACGGAAATTCGAAGCGTCAAATCAAATAAATGCGAGGGCACACAATTCTTGCAGAGACGGATTTACGAGAGATGCCAAAAGATAGCAAAGAAAAAGTTTGGCTGTGAAAATTGTGTGAAGAGATTAGGTGGAAGAATTTTTAATTTTCACAATTTGGGGATTTGGGAATAGAATTAGGATATTCTCCATGCTTAATCTGCAATGTATAAAGTGTGAAGGTTTGTAATTAGGTTGAGTATTTTTAATATAACTAACTGTATTAATATCATATCAATTTTAAGGGATTGATTATGCCATTAAAATTATTTAGATACTTAAAAAAAATTGCCTAATATGATAAAACTAAAAAGATAATATTAATTTTAAAATAAATAGCTTGAAGAAAAAAAATTATATAATTTTTTTTTATAAGTATCTAACTTCCATTAACCTTTTGTCGTAAATTTATAATTAGTTAATATTAGTAGTAATTATTATATAATAAAAAATTATAGCTAATGTAAAATATAATGGTTAGTTTTCATAGATACATGATAATAAAATGAGCGAAATTTATTTAAGAATATTATTAATTGAATAGCCAGTAGTTACGATTAATGTACGGTAGATGTACATACTTTTATATTCAAATATCATATTTTAAAATATAATAAAAATAAATGTCTCCGGTATAAGTATTTATTTCTTGTGAAGAATACATCTTTTGTGTTATTTTTACCAAAAGCCATTTTTTTTTTAAAAAAAATAACACATAATTTATATACAATGCACCCAATTGATATTTATTATATATTATGATTTGTTAAATTTATACGTGTATGAACTAAACGTCGAGTTCTGAAACTGATGGTAGCGCCGACGTCGTCGCGACAATTCTCTCTTTGAACGAGAAAATGACTTAAACTCAATTGTTTAAATGAGTAATTGATTTTACACAAATTAATGAATGGACCGTAGTGGTCGAATATGCTATATCAACGCTCCAAGCATTGTCAAATGGTATAGCTTGGGTCAAGGGGCTGGTGGCATTGCGGTATACTTTTGTCATTACACGGAATACACTGTTATGCCAATGTGCATTCTCGCAAACATTAATTTACATTTAATCTAACACTATTGCGCATTTTGCATTACGTGTATTTATAATGTGCAAATACCAAACCATATTGTGCATTTTACTTATTATTATTGTGCATTTATTACATTTTTTGATAAATTGTAGATTTGACTCAGAAACTAAACCGCAATATATTAAAATTTCTTAAATTGCAACTAAGTCATTGGGCTTATAAAATTTTAAAAATTAAGTCCCCAGAATCGAAAACATTTCCAGCGACCACCGCACCACTCTTCTCTGTTGTCCCGACCATCGAAAAGTAGCCGACTAAAGCCTTCACGTTCTGCCGCATTTTGACCATCACAAAGCCGGAGAAAAATTGATGTCCGCCATCGAGTATTTTGGCCGGTGAAACCGGTATTTTCCGATATGGATACGGTATTTTAGCCAAAACGATATTAAGAGGGTAATCGTACCGGTCAGACCACCGATATTCGGTATTACCAGTAATACCGACCGGTACATACCAGTATTTAAAACATTGTTTGAACCATTAAATTGTTGAAACTTCTACAACACTCTGAGAGAAACGAGATTTGTTATGCTAAAACAACAACTACAACACAAGGAAAAAATAAAAAATAAAAAAATGAATTGTTCAACTACATATTGTCATACGACAATACATTAATCAAGATTGTGGACTTTCTTACATTGACGATGGAGAAAAGAAAAAATAAGTAAAAAATAAATAAATTCACTACATATCACCATAAAAGAACAAGAAAAATAAACAACCCATCAAACTAAAAATCCCTCCATTAATAGTGTTGCTACCTCCAACAATGGACCCATCTGTGCCAGCAACTGTTCTAGACTCTCTCCCTGCATCTAAATCACAATAAAATTTTACACTTAATATTTATACATACACATTCATTTAAGTAGAATTGCCAAAAACAAACAAGAAGACTTACTAGGCTATCTTTTTCACACACTTATCAAATTCAAGAGTCTTTTTATATACAATTCAGTTTCATAATTATTACCAGGTGGAGTCGAATATGTGTCTGTGTCAGACGACGAGTTTGGATCGGTATCAGATGATGGGTTTGGATCTTCTGGCAGCCCATCGATAGGCGAACCGGACGGCCCAGGTGCAGACGTCGCAGGCCCATTCACCGCTGCGAAATTTTTGATCAAATTACTCACACATGATTGTAAGCATAATGTTACTATGAAATTAGTTCGATATATTATATATGAAAAGCAATAACAAATAAAAAAATTATTAACTTTTAAATATATTTAAAAAAAAAAATTAGTCGAACATTTTATAATTTTAAAAAGTGTATGAATAACATCCACAATCTACATGGATTACTCCGAAATACTAAAAATCAACACACTGTCTTACAAAACACCAGAATTCAACATATAGGATGGTGAAAGGCACCAAAAGTCGACAAGATATGGATAGAATCAAAATCTACATGGACTACTCCGAGCACCAGAAATCGACATTTAGGATTATGAAGCATCAGAATTCAACACATAAGATTACGATACACCAGAAGTCGACAAGGTACGGATAGAATTCAAATCTACACCGACTACTCCGAAGCACAAGAAATCAACACACAGACTTAGGAAACATCGGAATTCGATACATAGAGTCATGACTAATAGCACAACAAGCGAACAAGGTATAGATTAAATCCAAATCCACATGGACTACTCTGAAACATCAGAAATTGAGACACATGATTACGAAACACCAAAATTCGACACATAGATTACGAAACATAGAAGTCAACAAGGTATGGACATAATCCAAATCTACATTGTCTACTATGAAGCAACATAACTCTACACACAAGATTACGAAACACCACATTTGACACATAGAATTACGAAGTACTAGAAGTCGACATTGTATGGATAGAATTCTAATCTACATAAACTACTCCGAAACACCAAAAGTCGACAAACAGGTTTACGAAAAAGCACCAGAACTCTACACATAAGACTACAAAGCACGCCAGAAATCGACATGCAGAATCGAGACATTATGCAGGGAAATGATATTTGTATACATATATATATATATATATATATATATATATATATATTACCATCACACTCGCTGACTGGGGGTGTCTCCACGTGGCACGCGTTCGGGAGGGCAAGGGCCATTGTCCGATTCACTAAGACGCCGAAATTGGATGCCCCGCCCTTGAGGAGGCCGCAGAGGCACTGCGGTTGTGTCTGGACGACACCCGACAGCCGAGAGCAGCACGGCGCTGACGGGGCAGACGAGTTCCCGCTGATGTAAGCAACACACGGCGATAGGCTCACAAGCGCCATTGTGCAGTCGCCCGGTGAGTATTGGGCCGCGGCAGTATTCACTAACACCAGGCAAAAGAGTATGTTGCTAACTTTGAGTGACATTTTTTTTCTTTTTTTGCTGGATTATGATTGTTAGTCTTTGTTTTTAGGTGGTGTGTGAGGAACTAAGACGATTTATAGGTCACTATTAGAAGGGAAAAAAAATGAAGAAAGGGAAAAGGAGAATATAGGTGGTTTTTGTTGGCCAACTAGCAAACTATGGTTTTTTACTTTTTTTTTAGATATGTTGTTGACATTGTAGATTATTCTTTATATGTTTGTAGCTTAACAGAAGAATTTTTTATTTTTTTTTTAATTAATGAGACTGAAGGCTTAACTATAAGAATTATATAGTAGTTAGTTAGTTAGTTATGCCTACCTCATTGCATGAACCTCTCTGCTGCTAGTACTTTCAACGTACACCTGTGTGTTACAAACGTGTGTTAATTAAAAATATTATATTTAATAAATAAATAAAATTCTTATTTTTAAAATTTAATACTTCTTAAAACTTGTATTATTATTTACATTTAATTTTTATATGTAATATATTTTTAATTTTATACATGAAATTTGGATGTCAAACTAAAGAACGCAGAAAAAAACGACTAATGTAATATATTATATATGAAAAATTGGTAACAAATGAAAAAGTTATTGAATTTTGAATAATAATTTAACTTAAGCAAGCGTTTTATAATTTAAAAAATGTAACAGACATGGATAAAAGTCAAAATCTACGTGGATTATTCCCGAATCATCGATTTAGACACATAGAATTACGAATCACCAGAAGTCGACACTGAAACTCCGAAAATTCTACATTTATATATAAAAATGAGGAATGATTTTCTAACAAGCAACCAGCAATAATTAGATTTGGCCTTCACAATACACTCCAAAAGTTAGTTAAAAGTTGTTGAACTCCAAAAAACCACTCCAAAACCACCACACTCATCCTTTCACCCTTCCAAAATCATCAAAATAGTTAACCTATAAGTAACAAGAGACACATGAAAAATCTCACCTCAAACACCATATATCTCCCCATAGAAAAATGGCTATTTCTTTTCCCAAAACAATACTACCACTTTACACTCTCATCATCGTCACGTGCTCGTTTTTCCCGACAAACGCGCAAATCAATATCAACACGCCTTGCACGAGCTCGATGATACAAACGTTCACGCCTTGCTTGAACTACGTCACGGGAAGCAGTAGCACCGGTTCTTCTCCGACCCAAGATTGTTGTGACTCGTTGAAGGCTTTAATGGCGAAAGGTGTCGATTGTGGTTGCCTTATAGTGACTGGAAATGTGCCAATCTCTACTATACCCTTTATCAATAGAAACCTCGCTATTTCACTTCCTAGGATGTGCCAAAGTTCAGTCCCTGTACAGTGTAAAGGTATGTATATATGGAGAGAGAAAATTGCAATATTAGTCCATGTACATGTTATTGATCATATATTGTTTTGGTCCCCTTCGAATTGTTATTTCAAATTACGTCCCTTATATTTGCAATAAGGTTACAAAAAAGTCATTTTCGGGACAGAAATGTCCCACTCGAAAAATTGCAAAAATGTTGCAATTTCGTCACTTGTACGTGTTCGGAGACCTTTTTGTAACTTTTTTACAAATATAAGGGACGAAAATCAAAAGAATGATTTACAAGACTAAAATTGCAAATTTCTCATATTTTCACCTTGAAATTATTTTGGTTTGTGAGTGTTGGAATTAATTATTTATTATCAGCATTTTTAGTTTACTTGTCAAATTTGTTGTAAATTTTTGCAGCCTCGGGTGATCCATTACCTGCTCCAGGTACGAATGTGACATTTTAACTGATTGAAATTTTATAATAACTAATAATAATGATAATGAAAATTACTAATTGGACTGTTGGTAATTATTTGTCAGGTCCTGTTCTGTTGGGGCCAACTTTAGCTCCTACAACTTCATCAACTGCTCATACTCAGAGTCCAACAGGTTATAAATTAATATTGCTTATTAAGCCTGAATTATTATTTAGAAATTAGATAACGCCTAAATTTAATTAAACTAGTACATATAAGCCTGAAAAAATATTGCATATAATATAATGTTATTTGATCTACTTTAATTGTTGTTTTGATTATACTCATGAAATTTTGATATCAATCATACAGTTAACAATTAACATTTAGTCATTAAGATTGTTAAGTTATGCAAAATGTAATGGCTTATTATTATAATTAGCTAAAAAATAAGTTGGAACAAAATTAATTACTGAATCAAGAATAGACCAATCATATATAGTCAATTTAATGTTTTTNCTCTAGTTTTCAAGGTGTTGACCAACTAATGGAATTGATTCATTATTTTACCATTCAAATTAATATTTTTTATATGCCATTTGATATTATAGCACTTGTGAATTGTGTAGCGGCCATTATATAATTTGTTTCAAAATGATGTCAACATATATAGAACATCTCAATTTTGGCTGCTTAACAGTAACAAATAATTTTGTTATTATAATAGTTTACTAATAATTTGCTCAGTACGAGGCCACAATATATCAAATTTGGCAACCAAAGAAAAATATGACGTTACGTTTAATTTCATGAGATGCGTAATTGTGACATGTGTAAATATGTGTAAATATGACATTAAATAATATGACATCAAAATTACACAATAACAATCACACTTTGTATTTTGTGCATGTGAATCTTATGTAACCAAAAAATAAAAATAATAAAAATAAAACAAACTACCATTATGTAAATAGAGGCTGATTGAGATATTGTAAGAAGCTCTTATGTATTGTAGAAAATCGCCCCTAATTCAATTAGGCTAATAGTGAATATTTCCCAAATTTATGACAATCTATTGAAAGTAACAATGAGTAATTATTCAATAATTACCATTGGACGTGACAAATCTAAATCTTGGTGCAACAAAATATAACATGTCCACGATACAAAATTATGTTAACCTTTTTTTTTTTTTCCAGTATTTCACAAAATAAACAAACCCCTTATATATAATCTCCATTATAAATACCAGTAACCCTATTGAGAAGTTCAATTCAACTTTATAAAAAGGCCCAAGGTCTCATCAGACTCAACACCCACAAGCATCAAATCAAAACCAGAAAAAAAAAATAAAAAATAAAAAAAAAATGGCGAAATCAAATCTATCCGTGGCTATTCATTGCATCCTCATTCTTGTGCTATCAGGTATACATACTATCATTTAAAATATATATTTATTCAAGTATTATTTAAGGGTGTATTCGATTTGTGATTAATTTCTAAAAGAATTGTTCGAGATTTTGTTTGGGATTTTTAATGTATTTAACTTAAATTTTTTAAACTTTGAAATATCTTGAGATATTCATTTGAAGTTGAAAAAGTTTTACAAAATCTCGAGTTATTTAACTTATTTTAATACTGAGAATTGTTAATATTTTTTTAAGTTATTTCAAATCCTACTGTCAAATCTCATCTTTGGACTTACGATTTATAAGAATTTCAATGAAATTCACAATTTTTTTTTTTAAAAAAAAGTTTTGAATTCTAAAAAAGTCTTTAAATTGTCACTCAAAATACCAAAGGAATACACTCTCTTTAATAATTTAATTAATGCAATTTTATAGTAATTAATTAATGATATTATTAATTAATTTGATTATGCTAGTGGGAATACTGAGGGTCGAAGGAGGAGAGTGCTTGGAAGGGCTGACTACAGTGGACGTGACGTGTAGGGGATCGCAGGCGGACCAAGTGTGTTGGATTGCGTGCCAGCAGAAGCACGGGCCGAGGGCCGAGGCATGGTGCCGTGAAATCCTCCCGGGCCTTCCGCGGGCCGTCGTCTGCATGTGCTCTTATCCGTGCTGATTATATATATCAATTTATTTTAATTATCAAAACTTTGTTCGATTGAAAAAACAAAAAATATTCAAATATTTAGTACTATTGAGTTATGTCCCTCCCCTATATATGTGCACCTTCAATTAAGAGAAAGAAATAAGAAATAATTAAGATCTAAGTTTTTCTTTATTTATTTTATTTTTTAAAATAACTTAAGTTGTTGTGTTGGGATATGTTTTATATGATGTTGTTATCTTGATTTTTTAGTGTCATGGGATGGTATACGAATTAATATNACAATCAAACTGAGGTGCATAAATTAAGTTTAAACTAAATATACACATCTTTTTGCTGAATAATTAAATTAAGTATAAATTACTTAATAAATATATAGATAAATCTTATATTAGTTAATATCACACAAAAGCTTTTAGGATATTTACCTCATATATATGAACATTTACCTTATTTGAAGTAATAATTACTAAGATGAATATTAAAAAAATTATTACCAGTGACCTTATTTCAAGTAATGATGATATATCTCTTTCAATATCAACATCTTTCCTTTTGTAATCTATAGATCACTAAAAACTAAAAAAGCCAAAAACTATGGTATATATTAGCAAATCATTGACTTTTTGAAGATTTTTTCATTTTTATTAGATTTTGGAATTTGGGTTTTGACTTTTGAGTTGCAAATTCTGATATTTTCGTTTCCCAAAAATTCATCAATTTAATGGGGCAATTAAAATAAAAGAACATTATGGAAATATCTTTCATTATATGCGTAGAGATTTGCATCGGGTTGATAGTTGATACAAGGATTTTTTATTTTTTATTTTATTTTTTTTTATATACAATCAAAAGGAGCTAAAAAGCCAATAATAAATTAATCTATAAGACTGAGAATAAATTGGGTTTACACTAGAGGTGGCCACGGGCCGAACCGGCCCGCGACCCTAACCGGAAACCGGCACCGAACTGGTCCGGAACGGCCCGTAACCGGCCACTAAGGGCCGGTTCGTTTAACCGGACCGTGAGGGCCGCGGTTCGGTCCCGGGCTGCTCCATTTTTTTTTGTCCCGGCGGTCCGGGCCGGGGCGGGACCGGGTCATGGGCTAGAGGCCGGGCTCAAGTGTTATTTTTATTTTTTATTTTTTCCATGCGGGCCGTGCCGGGCCGGGTTCGGCCGGTTTGAAAACCGGCCCTAAGCAATTGGCGGTTCAGTCCTGGGCCAGGATGTTGAGGACCGGCGGCCCGTCGGACTGGGCCGGGCCGGGCCCAGACCCGTTGAATGGTCATGTCTAGTTTACACCAAGTTTTGAAAACATATATAATGAACAGGTCAAATTAATGGTTTAATAATTTAATGGTCTGTACCAAAAAAAAATTAATGGTCTGATCAGTGTTTGGATCGGACCGATATTTAATATATTAATATTGTTAGAAATATATAATATTTTATATTATAAAATTTATATATACAAATTTGTTAATTAAATATTAAGTCAATTTAAAACATTCAAATATTTAAACTAATTAATAATAACTTATATATATTCATTATATTTAAATATGTATTTTTTATTTATGTTAAAAATATTTTTAAATATACTTAAATTTATCTTTTTCAAAAAAATAGAGTGGTTCAAATTGATCCGACCTGTTTAAAAAAATAGAATGGTTCAACCGGTCATTGACTAATTTTTGACCGATTCGCTAGCAACCGGTTCATTGATGCGAATCGGGACGGTCAACTGACCATTTCTGGCCGGTCCGACCCGTTTGTTTTAAATATTCGAATTTTGACTTCACGAATTCGGGTGACACGTTTTTACCTTCAAATATGAACTTAAAGCTTTTTTTACTAGTTTAGCTTTTAAAGTCGTGCTTGGATACAAATATATCCGCTTAAAATAAGTTTTTTTGTTAATCAAGACTAGTACGAATCTCGTGCGATGCACGGTTAAGAAATACTCCTTAATATTTATAAATTAAAAATATTTATTAAATAATATCAATATATTAAAAATACATAATCAATATGTAATACAACCTAACTATATTATTTTATTCAAAATGTTATGAAATTTAAATTGTGCAAAATTTCATAAAATATGTCTATTTAAAATTAGCACACAACTCTTATGGTGCACGTAACAGAAAATAAATTAAATTATTTTCATTTCAAATATTTTAAAATTTTCATTCAGAAATTCGATTTAACTACAATATGACTCCATAAAATAATTATTTTGATAAAATTTTATCATATATTTAAAAATATATGTGAATAATAATTATAATATAAAACTTATCCTTGTTTCATTAATTAAAATGAATTAAACATTGTATAAGCTATCCAAATCAAGTAGTTGAGTAATTTATCAAACAATTGACTATTCCATTTACGTCTAAGTTAATATTGACCCGTAAATTATGAGTAATTATTTATTTGACTATTAAATCTGTAACCCAAATTTAGACTACACAATAAATTTTCTTATTATATATACAAATATTATCTCTCGATTTTTTAGATTTGTTGTCGGTTACCTTATCCTTCAAATTTATTAACTAATTCTCTAGAATTAAATTACATATTTTAAATTTTCTTAATCAATATTAGTTCCAAGATCTTTATGATTTTCAAGATGAATACATACTAATTTGTCGAATTATCATCAATATCTCAAGTTATTAAGATAATATGCTAAAATTTGATGATTATATCACCTTGATTTAATAACAAATCAACCTAAAATCAGACTCATCCCAAATAAAATTCATACCACTTATTTTGTTTTAAAAGTTTTCAAATACTAATTCTTAGAATCCGAGGTCAATTACATCAAGCCTTTATAGAATGGTACTTCTATACATACCATATACATACCAAATGAATTTCATACCAAAATAAAATTACCCTCTATTGTTGTATGCAAATATTTCATATCATTAGCACAATTATTGCAAATCTACATGCAAAAGAATATAGGAAAAAAAATATTAGTGTACGTTATTTATGAAAAATAATTTTTCTTAATATATATTTAATATGCACGACAGTTTAATATATAATAATTCAACCTTTTAAATATAAGGACATGTCATTGGAAAATCATCTTAAATGCTTTATGAGAGCTTAATTTGCTGATAATCTGTTTATATTTGTCACCAAGTATATGAGAATTTTTAATCAATTTTTGAACTGACACTCATACAATGAGCACGTTTATATTAATAGCACAAAAAAATAATATTTAAATTGTCTTATCCGTTTTAGCCTTTATTTTATGTGTTTATCAGTTTCCACCAAAAATAAAAATGGTCATCAAATACCTTAACAATATAAATGAACTTTTGTTTTAGAAGAAAATGAATATCTCATGTTTCGATTGACAGAAAAGCAAATGAACTTTTTTTTAATTAATTAATTAATCCCTTTCACAATATAAATGCTAACAATAATTATAATTTGTCAGTTCATCAAATCTATAAAATACTTTCTGAAAGTTCAAATACTGTTAATTATTATTCCTCAATTTTTAAACTATTGTTCTTTTGTAATTTTTAGTTTAGAAAGTTATTACGAAAATAACATGAAATTATTTAACTAAAATTACATTAAAGAAAAAAGTAATCAATATAAACATATGAGATTAAACAAAATTATCTTTAAAATTTGAATAATATAAAAAAATAAACTTTGGAAATCAAAGTTTGACACCCAAATAAAAAATCATCAAATAATTGCATCCATTAATCAAAATAAAATATGAACTAAAAAACAAAAAAAATAAAAAGGGAAATGGAAACAAACAATGCAAACAAATATGATAGACATTTAGAAAAGTGGCGTCAATTCCTGGTAATTCAACCGTGGACTATCCAAATGTTTACATAAATATTGATCCTTTTAGCACTATATAATATTGTAAATTTTCAAATATATAAAATCACGGTTTGGCAAGTATATATTTACTTTGATTAATTTGATTTGTAATAGCAGCAATATTTGACTAAAATGATTTTCCATATTAATTACATTGATTTTTTTGAATTTAAATTTCAAATAATTAGCCGCCACTTTTCAAAAATATTTTAAAAAATTACTAATAAAAGTAACATTAAGATTTTTTGGCGCGATTTCTACTACTATTTCAGGTAAATACCAAATCTTTTTAAATAGATATAGATTAATTTTGTTAAAAATGATATAGTTAATTGTCACTTCGATTTGAGTTATATTAAAATATTATTTAAAATAAAATAATTAGAATGTCCCATACGGAGCAGAGGATCCGTGCAAAAGAATAAGCTCGGTACTGACCGCGCGTCGCGACGTGGCAAATTTAAATTTATAATTTTCCTCAACTAACCTCTACTAACTAGTAGTAGCGGCGAGTAAGGGTCGATCCCACGAGGAGCAGGAATTAAATTGTGACAATCTCGTATTAATTGAATTAAACTAGGAAAGCAATAAAAGATGGGGGGTGATTGGTTTTATAAAAATAAAAATAAAAATAAGAAAATAAAATAAAAATCTAATAAAATAAGAGAAGTCCAGTTTTCGGTTCAATTATCACCCAATCTAAATCTACCGTTAATCAATTTCGACACTTTCTTTAAATTGCTAATGAATTACCGACCCTAGCTAACAACAAGCTCTGTTAACCGAATTTTCCCTTACCGAGTATTTAATCGAAATAAACTCTTCGACTAAACCTAACTAGCGGACAACCTAGAATAAGCTCTCTAGATTTAATACACTAGCAGCATTAATTATGAGGAGAATAGATCAGTCTAAGCAATGGACGCAAAAGTTCGGACCATTTAACTTATGTTCACGCTACCCTAGAGATGCACGACCCCTAGTTTACTACTAACGAAACAAGACAATAACAATTACGGATTAAAGTCTCGAATCTAGCAATTAAACTATGAATATTTAACGTAGTTGGCCAGACTAAATCAAACACCATAATTCATAAACTTTATACACAGATAACATGAATCAACTCA